GTACGCACAGAGGTTCAAATGGGTGACATCACGTGGAGCACACCATTGGATCGTCAGTACAAGAAAGCAATGTGGAAAGAGAACGACAAGAAATACGCGTATGTTTATATGAGCAAAGATTTTGAGTTCGTTCCTGTGAACGTCTTTCCCACGGATGATGAGCAAGAACAACTACAGAAGGTCAAAGAACAACAGGAAAAAACGACTTTGAACGATAGATTCGTAAATCGTGACAGGAAAAAGATTTGGAGAGTTGTTAGGTGTTTGAATTTGATATTTCAATTTTTGTTCCCAGATGATTTTATGTACTGCGTACATCTGCTACGTCAGCGCGCATCCCTTCTTTGATTTTTTCTTTGGTACTGTATACTGTAAAGCTAGTTTACATCACAATTTAAGATTCCAGGGTTATAGCTATAGCCAAACTGTCATGTTAGTGTGTTTGGATTTTTAGCTAATTTGCTTAGTGCGGCTCTACATGGTATGCATTTCTTTTTAACAGTAATTCTGCTGACTTGCACGATACACTTTACGTTCTCCTGTTCAGACAGCGTCAAGCTTCGTGATGACGCAACGTACAACGCGTCTTCGCGAAGTTTGAACGCCGCCTTGGTGTTACCATGTTTCGTTCCGTTATTGGTCTGTTCTTGTTACGAATATTCATAGTTAAAGTGCTCATATGTATACATCGCAAGACCCTAACATTTCATCTGATGTGAAGATTTGATATAATTTTTAGAAATGTTACTTCCTAGTTGGTTGAGAGTTTGTTTACTGATGTGCATATTCGAAAAGTTAGTAGTTGTTAGTTTAACCAATAGTTAATGAATTTTGTGCCTTTGTTGATCACGTATATCCACAGGTTTTCAAGGATTTACATTCCTAGAACTTTCTTGCTACGGATTCTTTTAGTGTTTATATGCCAGAATTGAATGTCTTTAGTCCTTTAGGATGACTTGCGGAGGAATAGATAAGAGTTGTAGTCCCATATGAGTCTTGTAAAAATACAGGTCTTTAATGGAGTGAAGGGTTGATTGAGGGCAGAAGCTCTGTCGGTCCGCACAGTCGGGGATGCAATTGCTAACACCAGAGCGAAGGAATGGCAAAAGAGACTCGTGGGAGCGGCAAAAGAGGCTTTACAAATAGAGTCATTCGCATAATCATCAGACTCATCGGAAATGCAGTTACTACTATAATGAATCAAAGTGAGATGCGTGGCGCATTCCAAAAGTCACTTATCGACGCTGGGTGTTCCATGTTCTTATCGAATTGTGAGAATTGATGAATTCGTCCACCACTGAAAAGCATTAGCACTACGGTAGCTAAACAAACTAAAGCGCATACTTCATATCTTGGAGATGGTGTAGGTGTGGTTGCTCACTTCATTTCATAGTGGCGACGGCTGTTTCCGGAGGGATCGTTTTCCAGGACACAGTGGTCGCGGGTTTGTCCAGAAAAAGACTTGCTTACGGTTTTTCTTCGAATGAGATGTTCCAGGAGAAGCGATCCCACGCCGTTCTCAATGCAGGCGGCCACATCTTCCCCATCTCCGAGTTATAGAGAATGTGTGGGTGAACTGACCAGCGTGTCTACAGAAGATCAGATGTTATGACTTCCAAGGGTTCTTTCTATCTTCTTTCGAGAACGCTAGTGATAAAGTCTTAGGCGCTTACGGTAAGAAGGGTATGGTCGTCAGTGGTCATCAGTGGTGGCCAAACCCTCAAGACCTTACGGCAGAGCTGACAGCAAGAAGTCCAGTGAATACTGTAGTTGTCAGTATCTAGTTATGTAACTGTGCTCACAGCAAAACCCAGCAATCCATTTGTTTCAGTGGATTAAGGATAGATGGTGTTCTACCTGATAGGATTAGGACTGGGTGATGTTGAAGATATTACTGTAAAAGGTTTGAACATAGTGAGGTGAGTGTCATTGGAGATATAATTCTTCATACATTTAAAAGTGAACTTGCATTCTAGAAAGTGCAAGCGAGTCCACCTTGAAGCGTACACTAGTATTCTGTGCTACGGGTTGGATAAGTCGAAGCTCGAGGAGTTCTACGGGCGTGAGGTCATCGAAGCGGATCGCACTTTGGTTGAACAAAATGCAGGTGATTTACATCCAGAATTTTCATTGTGATCTTTCTTGCGGTTAGCATGCGCATAAATACGACATGTTGTAAATGGTGGGTTGTTGCTAAAAGCTGCTGTTGGTAGCGTTCACACATCACGAATATGGAGTATCCGCGATCTAGGAGAATTAGGGACTCGGCGGAACGCACGAAATCAATCAGTGAATGACCTGCCAAAGACGGTGTACGTGTTGAATCCGGGATTGAAGACAGGAGAGTGCGCGATTGAAATCTTTTTC